ATCGGACAACGCATGCGGTGTACGTATGCAATAATTCCTCATAATAAATAACGCTCTCAAAAGCCCTAAAATAAACAAATCCAAAAATGAAGCAACCGTCCAGCTAAACGTGAGAGAAAACAGGGGTTTCCTCCATCTCCACCTTCATTTCCTCCATCAAATCCTCTCCTCCCCACATTTCTATCCTCAAAACAAAAGAAACTCGCTGTACCAAATTCCATTCTTCTACCTTTCTTCCTTCCTTTAATCTCCACCCCACCCCCCTCCCCCTCCCCCTCCCCCTCCATTGTCAGGTGCTCTGCAGTAAGGTCATCATAGCAACATGGTACGTAAGAAAATCAGAGATACAAAAAAAATATCACGTATGCATATATATATATATATATAATAGATGTGAATTTAGTGGTATTTGTAGATATTGTGGTGATATTGAAGTGATATCTATATATATTTATTTATATACTGCCACAATACAATGAGATATCATCACCTAATTATATTCACTCCATATATACACACACACGCCAAAACAAATTTTCATGGATAAAAATCATCAACAATGTCCTGATCATAAGCTTGTTCAACATATAAACTACTCTACATGCTCTTTTTATATATTTAATCTGTGTATGTTATTGCAAAGGCGAATTCGGCTTCAGGATTGGCAGTAAATGACGAGTGCAAGCTGAGGTTTTTGGAGCTAAAAACGAAGCGCAATTACAGATTTATCGTGTTCAAGATCGATGAGAAGGCGATGCAGATAAAGGTGGATAGGCTCGGCCAGCCTGAGGAGAGCTACAATGACTTCACCGGATCTCTTCCTGCGGATGAATGTCGCTATGCTGTTTATGATTTCGATTTTGTCACCGACGAGAACTGTCAGAAAAGCAAGATCTTCTTCATTGCCTGGTGAGATTTGCTTTACGCCTACTTGTTTTTAAATATCATTTCCTGAAGATTTGATTTAGTCTAAATGATATTAAATTGGTGTCTCCTTCTCCATATCCCGGACCAAGCAACGATTTACTCCCTGATGTGGACGATGATGTCTTCCGGCAAAAAGCCATTTATGAGATGGATCTCACATTTTAAAAGCAAAACCAGAACATTTACAAAGTAAAGCAATCCATAAGTGGGTTTTGCCGGGGAAGTTTTCAATTGAGTGAATGTCAGTAGATTTCCATTATGGATATTTATCCAATTCAAGGTTTTTTTTTTAATATGTTTTAGGTTTATTAATTTTTCTTCATTATAATAGATTTAGAATTGATGTTTATTAATCTCTTAGATTTTTTTTT